GTTCCGCGTAAATTGACATCGTGCTACAATAGGGAGGATTGCAAACGATATTTCCAACCAACTTCTGTTGCGATCGGTCCCTTGAACCATCAAAGAGAGCCTAACGAACATTCGAGAATCCATAGAGGTGAGGAGTGCAAGCTAAAACTGGCGAAAATGTTAATTGAGGAATGTAAAGGCAAGGTGGAACATTTCTGCGAGAATGTCATGAAGGGGATAAAGAGCTTGAGGGACTGCTATTACTTCAAAGGACAGAATTGGACAGATGAGGAGTTGGCCTCTATGTTCGTAGTGGATGGCTGTGCATTGTTGCTTTTCATAGTCCTTTATGTGGACAATAAGTGGGAGGGATTCAGAGTTACTCATGATCTAGTTGTGATTCCGGTGGTTGATTTTTTCTTACTTGAGAACCAGCTGCCCTACCAACTTCTTAACATATTGATAGAATCGTTCGTTGAAGCCTCAGAAGATAATGCTTTTAAGAGGTTATTCAAGGAATACATCACCGACTTCGTCAATAAGAGTTTCTTGAGTCTGATTGCGGCGCAACAGCACCAAATTCAGGTTGATCATTCTCATGAGCAACAAGAAGAAGAAGACCCTGTTCATCTTCTAGACTTGTTGCGAAGAAGACTGGTGGGAGTCAAATCGAAAAAGAAGGGCGCCGAGAACCAAGAACGGACTAAAGAATCTTGTTGGTTGCATACAGTGCGAAGAACACTGATGGGAGTCAAATCGAAAAAGAAGGGCGCCGAGAACCAAGAACAGACTAACAAATCTAGTTGGTTGCATAAAGAAATGAAAGGTGATAAAAGCAGACTCTGGTTTTCAATTCGCAACGTAAAGGTGCTGAAAGACAATGGTATTCGTTTTGAGGCGAGGGAAAAGGTAGATTCCCTCACAAAGATTGAATTTAATGACCATTGTTGCATGCCAACCCTTAAGCTGGCTCCCATTTTTTTGCACAATACCACCATGCCATTGTTGCTGAATTTGATGGCGTATGAGCTGTGTCCGTATTTCAAAGAAGATTGCAAGATCATCTCGCACTTGTCATTCCTCGACTCCTTGATAGATGATAGCGAGGATGTGAAGGAACTGAGAGATGCAGGCGTGCTGCACCACGGATTAGGAAGCGATGAAGCTGTAGCGAAGCTGTTCAACGAGATCAGCCGCATCCTGGTGCCAAATCTTAAGATGGACTCAGAATTGAGACGTATCCATGAATACTGCAGCAACAAATCACACCCCCGCAATCTATGTGCCAGCTTCGTGGCTAAACTCACTGACACCTATTTTAGTAGTCCTTGGAGCTTCTTGGTCTTCCTCGGTGCCTCAGCAGGTCTTATTATGACAGGAATCCAAACTTATACTAGCTTCCAGGGAAAGCTCCCCTAGTGAGCTTTAATTACTGTATATATTTATAGCGTTCTTAAAATATGTCTTAGGTTTCAAACTTTCAATCGGATTGGTAAAACAATTTTATATATTTTCTGTTGTTATTATTGTTATTATATTTGTGATATTTTTTATTGAATATTTATTATTATTATTTTATTTATATTACAATTAATAAAATCAATATTATTTCACCTTTATGGTAGTCCCCATGGACTACACCGTTAGCTAATAAGTTCGTTAGTAGAGGGCCCATTAGTACACATACTGACAAGAAATAGTCATCAGTATTGTAATAGAAAACTACACAGACAGTTATTTATGACCAAAATCTTTAAACTGTTTACTATAATGATGGATGTGATATACAGATGACAACACATTAGTATTATTATTATTCTGACAATAAATATTGTGATGTTTGGTGACACATTATTCGTCGGTATATTTCTTAAGATATACTGACGATTGTTTTAGCAATCTATTTGAGAAGATTTATACTGATGCGCCTTCGTCCGTATAGCTTTTTTTTTTTTTCAAAAAATGATAAGACTGCTGCTCTGGATCCCTTTACTGCCCAAATGCACAAACCAAATTTGATAAAATTCACAAATCCACTTGAATTGTTGTTGGAATACACGAAACTTACTTCCATTAACTAAATAACAAGCATAATCCATCCAATAGAAACAAGTTTGACAAAACAAACCTAATGTAATTCCATAAGTTCATAAATCTAATTGGCCAGCACTTACACCAAGAATTGCAACAATTCTAACACATGTATCACATGTTTATGAAAAACGTTAAAAAAAAAAAAAACCTCAAATGAACTGGAGAAGAAGAAGTCATGAACAAGAATTGCAACATTTTCAAAAAAGAGTTAGATATCATAGTTTGAGCCTTTAAAGGAAGAATCACACTTTGTTTTCCTCTTCCTTCATTACACTTATCAATATAGATATATAACCAAAATTAAATCAAAGTGAGCATTTAATCAAATAGAGCATGGCTCTTGGGATATGCAATGATATAACATTCTTTGATTCATATCCCAAAATGTATTTGGA